CTGGCTACGGCTGGGGAGTGGGGGAGCGCGACACGGGTGTGGGCTCCAGGTGTGGAGCTCAGGGTGCATGCAGGCTGCCAGGCCGGCAGGAGGGCCTGATGGGGAGGAGGCGGCTTTGCCCACTAGTCTCGGTGGAACAGCCAGCGTGCGGGGGCTGGAGGAGCTCCAGGCCCTGTGCTCCTTGAGGGTGCTTTGCCTGAGACCCTCCTCGCTTGAGATGGGTCCTTCTGCTTTCTCGTCCCTCCTGTACTGGGCTGTGTTAGGTGGTTCCATTTCTCATTTAGGCTGCAGGATGCCGAGCTACAAAGAACCCAGCCAGCCCTCACGGAGGAGTCTGTGTGCTGAGGGCCAGCCATGGGGCTGCATGGGAGAGCAGGGTGTAACTCAGGGTTATCGGTGTTGACTCCAGTGACTGAGCTTTCAGATGTGGAGGGGGCAAAATGTCACATGTGGATGTCATTGGAACTGCACACACGGACAGAGGATGTGTGTGGGTGAGGAGAAGCTAAAGAGTGATTGTGGTGGATGCTGTTATTTTTGCCTTTGGGGGGCCAATGTCTCCCTGTTAGGATGAGTGACCCGACTTTCTTTCAGAGGAACAGCCTTTTCTCAATGCTCAGATGGGGTGGTTGGTCTCTTTCTTCTGTGGTGTGGTTTGCATCTGAAGAGACCCCAGAAGTCTCTTGTGTTTGAGGTGGGGCTTTTGGAAGGTGACTGGATCATGAGGCACTGTGCTCATCCATGGACTATTCCACCAATCCCTTCTTGGACCCTTTCCCTCTTTCTCTGCTTCCTGGCTGCCATGCGGTGAGCAGTTTTCTTGCACTAGGTCCCTCTGCCATGATGTTCCTGCCTTGGAGCAGCCAACCACGAAGTACGAAATGAAAGAAGGAAAGGAAGTTGGGGGAGGAGAAAGGCAGAAAGAATGAAGAAAGGAAGGAAGAAAACCTAAACCCACAGGAACGTGAGCTAAGATAAACCTCTCCTTTTAGTCATTATTCAAAGGCATTTGCTCACTGCAACAGAAAGGTGACTAATGCACTGTGGCCTTAGTGTTTCAATTCACAGATGGGGCCCCAGACATGCAACTTACTTCCTGAAATGTTGAGAATCTTCTGGGAGGGAGGCTCTCTCCCCTGGTGTGCAGGGTGGCAAGAGGTTGTTTGAACCCCACGCACTGTCTTGCTGTCACAGGGAAGTACCTGTCCAGATGTAGCCATCAAGAATCTACCCCAGAGCTGGGGATTTGGCTCAGTGGTTCCACCACCTGCCTCACAAGCATAAGGGCCTGAGTTTGATCCCTGGTACCAGAAAAAAAAAAAAAAAATCCACTCCAGGCATGAGACAGAGACCAAGCTGGGTGTGCTCATCAAGCTCTGGTGATGTTACAACCCTGTGCTTTTTAGTCACACGACCATTTTTCTTGACCATGAGTGTTGTGTTTCTGCTACTTGCCCCTGAGAGGATTGTTAGGATCTGTGGTGGGAAAGGTGTGAACTCGTCACTTCTGTGTGCTCTGTGTGTGTTTGCTCTGGCAGTTTTCTTTAACTCCGTGAGAGGACGGTGACTTTTACTGAAATGCCTGCCTCCCAGGAACTGACCGGGAAGAGGTTTCCTTGTCACAGAGGCCCAGGACCACTGTTGCGGTGTACATTGCCGGCTCGTAGCTGGGTCCACACCAGCCCTGTCCGCCCTGTCCCGAGTGATGGACACAAGTGTGGCCTTCTGACCCCAGGCAGCCAGCTGTCAGCGCGTGTGTTGCAGAGCTGGTCTTCTGCCTACACCCGGGGTCCTGTGGGGGAGGAGAAGGTCCTGCATGGACCTTCGGGGCGTCATGGAGCCAGCAGTGTTCCACGTCTGTGAGTGTCACAGCAAGAGAGACAGGTGGCCAGGTGGGGTCTGGAGAAGGACGGGGAGAGTGAAGCCGAGCGCAGGGGCATAGAGAGGGGTCAGGGTCCGGGCTGGAGGGGCCAGGCGGCAGGGGCCCACGGGGACTGAGCAGGCCATTGATGGCACCGTTGGGGTCAGGCGCTCTGCCTGTCTTGGAGGGGCTGTCCCAGCCCCTGCTTGGGAGGAGCAAAGGTGCCTGGGGACCCTGCAGGCCCATCCCCGCTGGGTGGGCCTGGGTCACAGATGTCCTGTTGTGAATGTGTCCATCTTGTCCCATGCAGCATCTGTCGTAGCACAGACCCCCAGGAGGTGCGAGCTGCGGTTTGGACCTCACAAGGCTGTTGCAGCCCAGTGTCTCCACATTGAGACTCAGCCCCAGGGTGGCGGTGCTGGGAGCTGGAGCCTGAGAGTCAGCTCTGCCCTTGGGAATGGAACGGTGCCCTTCTGGGGATGGCAGGAAGGAGGCCAGTGTTTCTGCCTTCCTGACGAGGAGGCAGCAGGACTAGGCTGTGGCTGAAGCTAAGGGCCCCCAGATCCTGCTCCTGCTGGCGACTTGAGTGTGGACTCCCATCCTCCAAGCTGTGCATAGCCACCTGCCACTGTTGGAAAGTCTCTGCCTGGGTACTTTGTTATAGCAGCACAGAGGCCAGGTGCACCAGCTGAGGCTGGTGCTGGGGCATGGAGTGTCGGTGCTGACAACCAGGGCTGACGCTGCCAAGGAAGAGGGCAGTGCGTGCACATCTGTGCCGCCTGACCCTGTAAACTGCCAGACTCGTTTATCACTCATGGGTTCAAGGAACCGTGTGTGTGAGCTGCTGAGATAGTTTTTAATTCCAAAGAGAGGAAGGCCTGATTTCACTGCAGCAGATTTTACTTTTCCACTTCACAAAAGCAGCAGTGAGTTTGGCTTTTGAATGAAAACGTGGACTTCACATGTTGGCTGTCACCAAGGCAGCAAACCCTAAATGGGTGGAAAACGCTGATATTGCGCTCTGTCTCATGAATGCTCTGCTACCAGTCCCTCCTCTCTGTATTTGTAGCACAACAGTGGTGCAATGTCATGGAGAATTTCATGCAAAGTTTTTCTAAAAAGACTTTAAACTTAAGTAAAACTGACATTGACACAATGTTAGGCAATAGAAGAAAGATACCATATGTAAAGGAGTTGGTGAAATAGTTTCTACAGAAAGTTACGTATATCCATCTATCTATATATATATATCCTCATAAACAAGCAAGAAGGAAAACCAGGTGTTAATCCTGGTGCCAGTTTAGGGCTTAACAGGACGCTTGGATTTTCCTCTTTTGTATCTCAAAATTTCTGTAATGATTGTGCATTGTTTTACATTGTGTTTTATGATCAGACTATAAACAAAAATTGTTTTTGAGGGAATTACCTGAAACCCATAAGCCATGACCATATATCTAATGCCACCCGTGGGCATGTCACGAAAGCCCCACATCAAAGAGGAGAACAATGTTGCAGAGGAGTTAAATCTGGAGAACACTGAGCTCTTTGCCCCTCCTGAGATCCCTCGCTGGGCTCCTGAGGGGGAGGCGGGAGGTGACTTCCTGCGAGGCCTGTGTCCTTGGAGGGACAGTTCAGCTGCAGTGACTCCAGGGCTCCCATCTGAAGGGGGAGGCGCTGGGTCTTCTGGTGGCCACTATCCAGGTGCTCGTCTCAGTCCGCCTTTGGTCCTCACTGCTGTGTCACACGGGGCCCAGAGCGGCTCTCCCTCTTCAGTTCTCCAGCCCGCCAGGTATCTTTATTATCAGGATATCTGCAAGAAAGGGTGGATGCAAAAGAACACGCGGGGGCTGAGCGGTGGGTGACATGTGACCTATTGTCCCGTCTGCAGGGTAGGTCTTGCCTGAGGTCCGAGTGCAGGGTGTGGTGACATAGAGGAAGAAGGGGCTGCCCTGGAGCTGCGCCACCCATAAGACCTGAAGGGAGGTGCACCATTCACAAGTGGCCTCACTGTGGTGGGCGGACAGGGCAGTGACAGAGGTGGTCCGCACCCTCCAGCTGGTGGAGGCTGCAAACCACGACCATTCCAGCCAAAGTGCACTGAGTTCTGCAGAGGGGGACGGCCCCGTCCTGGGTCCTCTGTGGTCTCCAGGGCAGCGGGTGCGGTTGTCTCTGGTGGGTCAGAGGGGCTGGAGAACATGCTATAAGGTCTATCTTTTGTGGGTTTACACGTGAGGCGTTTCTGTGTGGAGAGTCTCCGTGCTTTTATTCTGAAGTGATTGGAAGACATTGAGGACAAAACTTCAGGGTTTGAGAGGAAAAGGGAGGAGTGTGGCCTAGCTCACTGTGGTGCTCCAGCTTCTTCACCAGGTGACCGTTCACTGCACACCTGCAGGACTGAGTGGGGAGCCGGGCGGGGTCAGCTTCCCAGGGCTTCAGGAACAAAGCGCCACAAAGGGGGCGCTGAAGGTGACAGGGCGAGTTCTCCCCTCTTCGCTCCTGAGGTTGCTGGTCCTTGGCCTCCAGGCCCCCCCATGCCTCCTCACGCGCGATTCCCTCTTCCTGTGTTGTCGCCCCGTCTACTCATGAGGATGCCAGGCATCGAACTCAGGAGACCTCACCCTAACTCATTACACACGCAGGGGACTCAATCCAAATAAGGTCACGCTCATGAGTTCTGAGGATGAAAACCTCAGCACGTCTGTGTGGGATACAACGTGCGCCTGAGGGGTAAATACTGAGCTACTGATCGTGGTTGAATGCATGGGTGGGTGGGGGGCAGATCACCAAGGCTCCATCTCCCGTGCTGCTGCGTTTGGATAGCACTCTCCCCAGGGTGTGAAGCTGCTAAGTGAACAGGTGAGCCAATTTTCTAGCCTTTTATAGACAGGGGAGTTACAGTTAATAGTCTGAAGCTTAAAAATTTTATCTTTAAAGATTTTTATTAGTCCAGGGCTGGGGATTTAGCTCACGGGTGCTGCCGCCTGCCTCGCAAACACAAGGTCCCAAGTTTAATCCCTGATACCAAAAAAGAAAAGATTTTTATTAGTCCATGTTAGCAGTACATAATGATTACACTCATTGTGGGCAGTTGGTCCATGTGCATAACATGTTGTAATTATTTTTTCTCTTTTTTCATCAGATTTAGGAATTCTGGGTCTTCAGTCTGTCTGTAGATGTCTCCAGACTTTGCCCCTCACCTCTGTAAACCATGACTGTTATGAATACCGTCACCAGCTCGATACCCGAGACCGTAAGTCTGTGGACCCACAGCAGGGTCCTCCCGTATGTTGGAGTCTGGAAGTAGCAGTGATGGACTCAGGAGAGGACTGTGGGAAGAACCTGCGCTGTTCCTGCGGCTGTTCCGGGTAGGTGTCCGACCCCCAGCCTGGGGGCCAGGCGCTGGCTGAGTGAGGGCAAACAGCCTGTGGGTGCTGGGCAGGTCGCCCTCCCCGAGTCGACTGAGGGGAGCTTAGTGGGGTGGCTGCCGTGTCCCATGGGTGCTGTCTTGTCCTCCAGGTGGGAAAGAGGCAGGCCCACAGTCTTCCTGGGGCACCACTGTGGCCTCAGGTTTGCTGGTGGGGTCTGTGGTGTCTGTGGGGCAGGTGAGCCCTGTCCTCGCACAGGGCAGCAGGATTGGGGCTCTGCACTGGACCCAGTTCTCTCTTCCCATTCCTATCACCCGCGCTGGTGGGTGCTGCCTGCCCAGGTCTCCCCTGCATCCACAGGGGTGGTGGGGAGCCTGAGCCTGTGGCCTGCTGTCCCTGATTTTGATCCTGTGGTCTAGGACTGTCCCTTGTGAGAGTGGTCCCCCTTCCTTTCTGACTGGCATTTTGGTGACAGCACTTTGGATTGTGGGGAATGACCGTCTCTGAATGCCAGGTCCTGACACAGGACCTTCAGTGCTCCAGGTGATAGGCAGCAAAGCTGTGACTGGCAACGGTGTCATGTTAGGTGAGAGGCGAGGATCCCCAAGAACCAGAAGGGAGGAGGAGGTGGGCTCTGGCTGTGGACAGAGATGCGCAGCTACAAGCTGGTCCTAAATGGGAGTGGCACTTGGCCAGGGTGTGGGAATCACCCCAGGTTCTGAGCCACCGACCCACCCCAGTTTCCCTAAGGTGCTCCTGGGATTCAGAGCTCCACAGGCTGAGGAAAGAGGCTGGGCTGTGCCAGTTCCTTCCACCATCACCAAGTTATCTCCCTGCGCCTCACTCAGGCCCTTCTGTCTTCTCAGGCCCTCATGGCTCCTCTGACCTGGGTATCTGGTCAGTCCCTCGCTGACTTTCCGCATGTACAGGTCAGCCTGGCCTCCTCCACCTTCCTTGTGCCCCCGCAGGCCTATCCCTGGCATCTGCCAAATGGATGCTTCCCCTCTGCCCTCTCAAGCCCAGCACTGCAGTGCCTCCCGAGCCGCCTTTGGCCGGATCCTTCCCTCCTTGTCCTGTGCTGTGCTTGCTGTGTGCTGCTGCCTGGCATGTGGTTGAGCACCTTTCTAGTGGGGGAAGAGCCTGAAGAACCTCCCAGGCTTCGAGTCCTATCTGTCCCTGCACCCCACCCCACCCCGGCCCAGTGGGTTCTGATAGAGGCAGCGATGGGCTGGTTGGGTCCTGCTCCATCTCCCCACAAGGTGCTGGCAGGCAGCCCCTCGGTGGGTACCAGAGCGTCCATACCTCTGTCTTTCTTCCTCATAGCCCAGAGCACCAGAGAAGAGATCCAGCTGCTGGGACGAAAGTGCCGTTGGGCTCTTGCTCTGTTGGCCCTTGTGCTGCCTCATGGCCCTAGCTTGAGATTTCGTGTGGTGACTTAAACTGCAACCAAAGCAGTTCCTGTGCCACCCAATCAGAAGGCTTTCCAAACCTTGCTTTTTGCTCTCAGATGTGTCTCTTGAAATCAGCTCTGCTACAAAGTGGGGCTAACTCCAGTGTCGCCCTTGTGGATGTGGTTGTAAGGATGAGTTTAAATGGGAGGTTTTTAGATTTTCCAGTGTGTCAACAAGTTAAGAATCTCATTCATGTAAAAAATGCAAATAAATGCAGCTGCGTGTGGTTGTGCGGACACTAAAAGTGAGCTCATGGTGCTAAACCAAGCGAGAAGATGCTTTAAACTGACAGAAACACCAGCTCTGGGGATAATTTAAGGAGCATTAATAAGTATATTTAGAAACTCACGCAGAAGCCATGCTTTCCGCTCATTTTTCCAAACTCTGTGAGTGAGCAGAATTCATAACGGCAGCTTAACAAATACAAATACAGAACTGGCTGCTTTCCAAACCCAATTAAATGTTGAGAAAGGAACTCATATACATTACATTTGTATATGTATATATCTCCATTTTATATTCACAATAATTATGTATTTTCATGTTTATCATTGGAACCCTTTTATTGAGTTAAGCATTGTTCACCTTTCAAAAGTCAGATTTCCAGAAATCAGCTTGAAAATCTGTTTGAAGATGTACGGCCCTGTGAAAATGTCATTGATAAACACAGCCAGTACCAGGGCTGGTCCACTAAAACCACTGAATGCATGACATTGTTGCCATGTCGTGCATTTTCAAGAAAATACAGTAAAAGAACATTGCCGCTGCAATCTTGGCGATTTATGCAAGTAATTTAATCTCCCATCTCTTAAATTTATTAAGGAAGGTTTTCATTTTTGCTAAATGACGGTCCCCTTGGAAATGCGGATTTAATTAAAGGATGAAAATATGCTTGAGTCTCGTGGGGAGATGCTGAGGTGGACCTGGGCCCCTCCCAAGGCTTGCTGATGTGACACTGCTGGATTTTATGACTCTGAGTCTCATTTCCAAATGTGTGGCTGTCCTTCCCTTACTGAATCGTCACTGCCACTGCTCTGCACTTTTGATCAGGGTCACTTTTCTTTGGTTTACAAATGGAAGAAAAAGGAGACAAGCAAGAGGGACATTTCCAAGAGATCACTAAGCAAAAGCTGTTTGAGAAGGAAGAGGGAGTGGGACTCTCAGGAAGGGCTGTGGGCTGTGGAAATGATTTCCCTGGCCTATCAGCCCACGGAGTCAGTGGAACTGTGTGGCCCCTGTGGCCACGTTGCTGTCCCACGCCAGAGGGCACCATGTACCTCCTTTCAAAAGACTCACGCGGTGTCTGTAGCTGTGTGACTCATGCCTTCTCTCATCAGCAACTTTGCATTTTGTGAGTATAGTTATGATTCACGTCCCCTGTTTTCATGGAGTAAAGCATTGGTCTCCATCGTACCCTTCTCCATCCATCACCAGGGCCAGAAGCATCCTCGAGCCAAATCCTTCTCTAGACCTTTCCCAGCCAAGACATGTTTGGTGGCTTCCGGTTTTCCTCAGGGATGCCACTCTGCTGCCAGGTGTCCAGGGCCTTGTAGAGTCCCCACCCTGGCTGTCCTACCCACTGGCCTTCCTGTCCTCTCCCAGTCGGTCTGGCGGTCCGTAACTGCCAAGGCCATCCGGTCCTGTGCATCTCCAGCCCGTGTTCTCCTCCCTGGACGTCAGGCCTCCCCTCCCCGGCCATCTCCAGCCAACCCGCACGGGGAGCCAATCATCCGGGGCATCCACTGGACTCAGGATAATGAAGACCCTGGCAACCACCTTGCCCAAGATGTCACTGTCTCCAGACGTGCTTGGCTATATGAAGAGGACGGGTCTCAAATGGAAGGACCAGACCCTCCCTGGAGTTTGTTAATGGAGCTGACAATCAGTGTTGGCATCTGGAACTGGAATGTGTGACCTTGGGCTGTGGGTCGGCCACACCCATCATGGGGAACAGGGACTGTGGAAGCCGAATGGCAGAAAGGGAAAGTGCAAGGTAGGGCTCTTGGTAGGAAACGACTGAGGCCAACTCTGGAAAACCCAGGGTGCTGTATTGCTCACGGACACGATGCATCCCCAGAGACTAGATTGGAACACGGACCCCAGTGCGCAGGCAGCCAGAAGGAAAGCCGCGGTGTTTTCCTCAGAACAGGTTAGCGCAAATGCCACTTTGGGTACCATTAGCTCTTGCATCATAAGGGCCACCCCTCCCTAGAGCAGTTGCTGTAACCTTTCTAAAGTTTAATTCCCATTAGGATATTCTCCTGCCCTTCTGTAAAAGAAATTGGTCTCATCTTTGTCCTGGGTTCCTGTCATGAAGCTTCTGAAGTCACTGGGACTTCCCAAGTGACAGGACTGTCCTGGCTGGTCATGGGGGTCCTGGTGCCCTGGTCAGCTTTTGCTGAGATGGTCCAGGGTCTGAACCCCGAAAGGCTAGCCTGGGGCTCCAGGGTGGAGGCTGCCTGGCTTCCAAATGTCATGAATCCCTAGAGTCAGCAGAGGCCATGACCTGGTACATGGATTGGAGTACTCTGGTCTTCCCTGAAGAGGTGGCCAGGAGTGACATGGGCACAGCAGGCTCTGGACGGAGCACATCTTCTGATGAGCAAAGTCTCTCCTGAGAAGGTGCCAGTTCTTGAGCACCAGCTTCCTGGGCTCCCACTGAGTCTGCAGTTGGAGGCCACAGAGCCCTCCCCACTTCATGCAACCGTGGGACTCATCTTGGCAGCCACCGTTTTCTACTTTGTCTGATTTATAGTTGGTGTAAGGAGGTAAATCTAGTCTCTGCTATTCCATCTTCACTGAGAGTGAAAGTTAAATAGTCTACAGTTGCCTTTTCATTTTTAAATAATACATGAAGCTTACATTTTCTAATCCATCAACTTCATAAATAGAACACCATCTTAATTCTTCCAATGAAATGCAAAAAAATTTATAATATAATATAATGCTACCCATCTCTGACTTTTGCTTTTTAGCACATTCTGAAAAAATTTCCTCATGTATGTTCACCAAATAATTATTACTTTAAAATTGGATAGCCCGTCTTCTGAGAGCTATAATAGTTTCATCATGTTTTACACAGTGATCACCAGCTGTCAGGGTTTGGTTCCATGTTTAACAGAACTTAGTTCATTAATAAGTTTTGACGAAGTGTGCCCTAGATTCTCCACTGTGCATACAGGAGTGGTTTTCTTGTTGTTGCTGCCCGGCGCTGTGGACCAGCGCTGGTACCCTGTGTGGAGTGGGCTGTGGTGGCCTTAGCTCCTGCCGCGTGACGGGCACTGCCTCTGCCCGGGTGTGCGTGGAGCCTGGCTGCTCTTTTCCTTGCCTCCTGCAGGACCGAGGTGCTCACACTGTGTTCCGAGGGCCTGGGGGAGTGCACACTTCTCAAGGTGTCGCACTCCAGGCCCCGCCCCTCCTGGCTCTCAGGTGGGTGTTGTGCACAGTTGCTCCTAAATCTTGCTCAGTCCATTTCATAGCTGGACCCTTCTGATGCTGACCCAGGGTTGGGTGCTAGGGCTGCTGGAAGATATTTTCTATTTGTGTCCA